AGAAACCAGGAGACTGAAGGGACCCTGTTACTGAGGCCAGGTTCTGACCATGTTTAAATATGCTTCCTGTTAGAGTAGATAAGTATTGAATTTTGTCAAGGATTTTTCAGCTTCTATTGATATAATTATGTGATTTTTATTGATTTAATTATTAATATGGTGTATTTATGTTTAAAGTTTCCTAATATTGAACCATTACTGCTTTCCTGGCATAAATCTAAATTGGCCAATGGAAAAAACAAAGATAACTGTATGACTGGGTAATCATTCTACCTATACTTAAACCTAACAAGGTCCTTTGTTTGTGAATTACATATATATACCATCACCAGGCTTTCATATCACAAGAACCAATATATAAATATACATATATAGAGGGGGGGGGCTAACAAAGCAAAGATGAATCAGAGGTACTAGACAGAAAATAAATATAGTTGGACAACTGGGTAACATTACTGCTTAGGGCATTTCAGATGGGTTATTTGAGAGTTCCATTCATCATGAATTCTGACTAATCCCAAGACATTTCAACCTTCCTTCCCAAATGCTGTGAATATGTATACCATATTCTACCACTCCATCCTGATGACCACACATATTTAGGAATACAACTATGTATTACCCTGTTCTTTCACCAGTATATCACACTGAACAATCTAAAATTCTAAGCACAAAAAATTCTAGACTCCCTCCATCTCACACAAACACACACACACACACACACACACACACACACACACACACACAAATGCCAGTAACTCTAGTACCTGGTCGACCAGAAGGAAATCTATTATGGACCTACTACTACTCTTGGAAACCCATTGGCTTCTTATATGTGCCCTAACTATTCCACCTCAAGCACTTTACTAGTATGAACTTTGGGTGGAGAGAAATGGATATTATAAGGGTACCTGTGACATGACCCAAAGCTAAAACAATGACAGCAGCAATAAGGGGAAAAAGGAAAAAGGGAGCCTGGGTTTCATGACCCCTGATCCCTAATTTCTAGCACTATCAGACCCTCCTTGAAGGTCATCTCATATCTTAGTTGCCTCTGATATAGGATGTTAATAAAGGCAAACTGGTCAGACTTACGAAGGAAAAACCTGTATGTGTACTCCCAGTTCTTTGAAGACTTGCCACATTTTGTTGTAATCAACATAGTCAAAGGCTTTAGTGTAGTCAATGAAGTAGTAGATTTTTTTTTCCTTGAGCTCCCTTGCTTTATCTATAATCCGGAGAATGTTAGCAATTTAGTTGCTAGTTCCTCTTCTTCTTAGAAAACCAGCTTAAACTTCCAGTAATGCTCAATTCACATGTTACTGAAGCCTAGCTTGCAGAATCTTAAGCATAACCTTAAACATTCTTTGGCATTGTCCTTCTTTAGGATTGGGACATAAATTGACCTTTTCCAATTCAATGGCCACTGTTGAGTTTTCAAATTTGCTGGCAAATTGAGTACAGCACGTTAGCAGCAGCATCTTTTTGGGATTTTTAAATAGCTCAGCTGGAATTCCATCACATCCATTAGCCTTACTATTAGCAATGCTTCCTAAGACCCACTTCACTTCAATCTCTAGGATGTCTGGCTCTAGATCAGTAACCACCCCATTGTGGTAATCAGTGATGTTAAGATCTTCCTTGTATAGCTCTTCTGCATATTCTTACTATTTCTTCTTCTCTTTCTTCTTCTTCTTCTTCTCTACCATTTTTGTCTTTTATCATGCCCATATTTGCATGAAACTTTCCTTCTATATCTTTAATTTTCTTGAAGAGATTTGTTGTCTTTCCAATTCTATTTTGTTCTGTTATCCTATTCTGTTTTCTTCTATTTCTTTGCACTGTTCATTTAAGAACACCTTCTTATCTATCCTTGATATTCACTGAATTCTGCATTCAATCCGGTTTATCTTTCCCTTTCTCCTTTACCTTTTGCTCTCCTTCTTACCTCAACTATTTATAAAACTTTATCAGACAGCCATTTTCCTTTCTTGTCCTTTTTCTTTGGGATGGTTTTTGTTTTCGCCTCCTATACAATATTGTGAATCTCTGTCCATGGTTCTTCAGGCACTCTATCTATCAGATCTAATCCTTTAAATTTATTCATCACTTCTACTTCATATGCATAAGGGATATTATTTAGATCATACCTATTTTGTCTGAGAGTTTTCCCCACTTTCTTTAATTAAAGTCTAAATTTTCCAATAAAAAGTTCATGATCTGAGCCACAGTCAGCTCCAGGTTGGCTATAGCTTCTCCACCTTTGGCTCCAAAGCACATAATCAATCTGATTTTGATATCGACCATCTGGTGATGTCAATGTGTAAAGTTGCCTTTTGGATTGTTTAAAGAGTGTTTTCAGTGACTAGTCAGTTATCTTGAAAAAGCTCTTTTATTAGTTTCTGCCCTGTTCATTTTGTATATTAAGGCCAAATTTACCTGTTATTCCAGTTATCTTTTGGTTTCCTACTTAAGCATTCCAATCCCCTATGATGAATATGACATCTTTTTGGTGTGTGTTATTTCTAGAAGATGTAATGGGTCCTCGTAGAGTTGATCAACTTTTTCCTCTTTGGCATCAACATAGATTTGTATTACTGCACTGTTAAATGGTTTGCCTTGGATTGAAACAGATATTATTCAGTCATTTTTGAGATTATATCTCAGTACTGCTTTTCTCACCCTTTTACTGACTATAAGGGTCACTCCATTTCTTCTAAGAGATTCTTGCTCACAGTAGGAGATGTAATGATCACCTGAATTAAATTCCTCCATTCCCATCCATTTATGTTCACTGACACCCAATACATCAACATTTAATCTTTTAGCATCCTATTTGACAATATCCAGCTTACCTTGGTTCATAGATCTTACATTCCAGATTCCTATGCAGTATTGATTTTTTTTTCTTTACCTTGGAAATCAGACCTTTATGAGAGAAGTTTCCTACAAAGATTTTTTTTATTAACATTTCCCATTTTAATTTTACCTGCACTGATTTTTTCTCCAAAAAGCTTTTCCATTTTATATAATCAAAATTCTACTTCTACAATCCTTGAAATCCTTTGGTCAAGAGCTCTCCTCTTTCCCCATTTTTCTAAATATTCATTTTCTGGATTTTAAAAAATATTTTATTTTTTTACCCAATTACATGCAAAAAAAATTTTTAACATTCATTTTTTTTTAAAAAATTGAGTTCCAAATTCTCTTTTCCCCTCTCTACCCTTCCCCCTCATTGAGAAGGCAAGCAATTCGATATAGGTTATACATTTGTCATCATGCAAAACACATTTCCCTATTAGTCATGTGAAATAACATCCACCCCCCCAAAAAAATTAAAAGAAAGTTTAAAAAAGTATGTTTTTATCTTCTTTCTCTGGAGATGAATAGCATTTTTCATTATAAGTCTTTCAGATTTGTCTTGGATCATTGTACTGATGAGAATAGCTAAGTCATTCACAATTCATCATCATACAATATTGCTGTTACTGTGTATACTGTTCTCCTGGTTCTGCTCACTTCATTTTACATCAGTTCATGTAAGTCTTTCCAGGTTTTTCTGAGAGCATTCTGCTCATCATTTCTTATAATAACAAATACTATTCCATCACAATCATATGCCGTAACTTGGTCAGTCATTCCCCAATTTATGTCTATTTCCTCAATTTCCAATTCTTTGACATTACTAAAGAACCTGCCAAATATTTTTGTGTATATAGGTCTTCTTCCTTTTTTAAATCTCTTTAGAATACAGAAATAGGAGTGATACTGCTGGGTGAAAGAGTATACATGATTTTAAAGCCCTTTGGGCATAGTTCCAAGTTGTTCTACAAAATGGCCCAACCACTTCATTCTTTCTGGAGCTACTTGTAGTTGTCTTCCACTCTTTCCCAGTAATACATTGGATACCTTCTGACTCAAGGGTCTCATCTTCCAGATGAAATCTTTTATCATTTTAATACTATCCATAGGTTTTCTTGGCAAAGATGGTAGAGTGGTTTGCCATTTCTTTCTCCAGTGGATAACTTTTGTCAGAACTCTCTATTATAACATGTCTATCTTGGCATAGTTCATAGTTTCATTGAGTTACACAAGTTCCTCTGCCATGACAGGCAGTGATCCAGGAAGGGATAGAAATGTTACCCAAATCATTAAGTCTCTCTTTGCTAAAATTGCTCAGTATGGTGGAGCTACATGGAGTGATAACCTGGTCTGCATTCAGATTCTACATGGGTTTTATGTCCTCATGCCCTGGTATTCTCTTTAATACACTTATCATCTATCTGCTGCTTTTCAACCTCCCATAGGACTGAGCTGAGCAAACTGCTCAATGAACATGTAGCCAAGTTTTTATCTGGATGGCATTTAGCTAGAGCTTAAGAGAGATCATATAATTCAAATGCCTTACTTTATAGATGAGGAGACTGAGGTCAAGAGAGAAAAAACCAGTACTGTATGGTACAATAGAGTGCTAGATTTGGGCTCAGAAGACCTAGCCTTGAATCCTGACCCCTACTTCATATCAGTGTGCCCTTGGACAAATTGCTTAACTTCTCTTGAAGATGCTAACTTTTATGCTTCCATATCTGCAGAATGAAGGACTTGGGACTAGATTGGACCCTAGAAATCCAATCTTCTTAATCAATGATTTCATGATCACAGGTATCATAGAAATGAGGAAACTTTTTTTCTTAATTTTTTTTTTGTAAAAAGAATGACAGCAAATTTGGAAAGTAAGCTGAAGAGTTATTGCCAAGTCCTCTTATTCTTTCTTTGGTCAGGTTGTTTTGGGAGAAGGAGAATGAAATGAGAAAGAAGCAGATGTAAAAGAGATCTTTTTAACTATACTAGGACTGGCAGAAGGAATCCCATATTTGTAACAATTTCAAAGGACAAAGACACAACCAAGTACTCCCAGTCTCCTTTGCCTTCTCACCCCCAAATCCCAGAGGAAGAGGAAGTGAATGCGCTCTATAGTTCCTATATAGAACTGTGGCACTATGGCCAGACCTTGGCATATGCCACTGATTCTGCTGCTCATTGTAACTCCATTGACTAGCCCCATACAAGACCAAAGCAGATATCAATCAATGAGAATTTACCGAGATATCCCAAAAACCCAAAGTTATATGCCACAGGCCCTGAGATTTGCCATGAAGGAATACAACCAAGCCAGTGAAGACACAAACATCTATAAAGCTGTACAAGTGATCCAAGCTCAGGAGAAGGTGAGTGTGCTGCTTCCTTCACCCTCTCCCCACTTATAATTCCACTGTTGCTAATCAAACATGGATGAGGGGCAATTTTCCTATTGAAGACCATTGCTACACACACACACATGCCAATTGAGAGCTATATTAATTTTTTAAACCAATGTTTTAATCAGTTTAGGGGTTAGAGGACAGGAAGAAAAAAGTCAACTCATTTCAAAATCAAGAACAAGCAGAGGAAATCAAATAGAGAGTTCATCTGTATCTAGTCCAGGGAGATGGGGAGAGAAATAGGAGGGGAAGGAGTGTTCCACATCTTTTACTAAAGGCTGTGATGTTACATATTTAATATATATAATCCTGCTATAGGTTTTCTGAAGGATTTTGCTGCTCACTATAGAAAAAAATACAGGAGCAGAATAATTCTAAGCTAGCCCACTGAGCCATCTGTTGCCTCTTTTACCTCTTTTCCCTGGTCCTCTCTTTCCTCCTGCTTTGCATTGCTACCCTTCCCAAGCAGCCTTTGTGGTCGTTCACCTGTCACCTTTCATGTTCCATTGAGAAAGAAGCTGGTTGTGCTTGTTATATTATTAGCCCCACAGCCTCAAGCTTGACAACACCTTATGAACCCCAATTGTCTTCCTGAACTTTTAGCTCTAATGTTTGGAGTTCAAATGACTATTTGCAAGGATGAATACCTTTTCTGTCTGTACTGAAGAAAAGAAAATTCATTCATTTAAAAAAATTTCCTGAGTGCCTCTTCTGTTGCACTAGGCATTGTGAGAGATATAAGGAATTATAGGACCTATTTCTTTGCCCTTAAGGAGTTTACAATCTAATGGGGATGGCAAGAAAGGGCAGGTAGGTGGCACAGGGGATAGAGTGCTGGTCCTGCAGTCAGGAAGATTCATCTTATTAGCTGTATGACCTTGGGCAAGTCACTTCACCCAGTTTGCCTCAGTTCTTCATCTGTAAAATGAGATGGAGAAGAAAATGGCAAACCATTCCAGTATCTTTGCCAAGATAGGGTCAGGAAGAGTTGGACACAACTGAAAAACAACTTCACAACAAGGGGTGGTAAAGCAGGTAAATAAATAATTATGATACAAGGCACTAATTATAATTTATATGTGAATGGTAAAAAGTATGATTAGAGGTCAGAGGAGGGAAAGATAACATCTAACTGGATTAAGGCTTTATGGAGAAGATATAGGTTTAACAAGATTTTGAAGGATGGACAGGATAGGTGGAAATGTCAGGAAAGGCATTCCAAAGCAGGAAACAAAACCCTCAATTAGGAAAGAATGAGTAGTTCAGAGTGACTGGAAAGTTTTTCTAGGACCTTAAAAAAAAAAAAAACAGCTCTTTGACTTCATTTGGACAGGCCATTCCTGTTGAGGACACTTTCTCTACCATTGCAGATAGGCACTTTCTCTATAACCCATAGCCCTAGAGAGTTGCCTGAAGCACTAAGGGAATTAAATCCCTTGCCCAGGGTCATACAACCAGTATGTGTCAGAGGCAGAACTTGAACCCAGGTCTTCCTGGACTTGGAGACCAGTTCTTTATCCCCTACACCACACTGCCTAACTCTGGGGAATCAGTAGAAAATAATATATACAGTATCATAGAAGCATCACCTAAATGGAAAGAGTTGAGTTTGAATCCCACTTCCAATGCTTACTAATTTTATAAACATGAGCAAGTCACTTATCCCCTTTAATATTAGTGCTTCACCTTTCTTGATTATTTCCAATTTAACCTGTAAATATCTTGTTTGTACACAGTTGTTTTTATGTTATCTCCCCCATTAGACTATGAGATCCTTGAGAAAAGAGACCCTTTTTTTTTGTTCTTTCTTTGTATCCCCAGTACTTAGCACAATGCCTGGTCCCTAGATGTTTAATTGACCAGCTGACTAACCTCTCTGACCTTCTGTTTCCCCACTGCAATATGAAGTTGATAACAATGGGATAATAATACCCACAGTACTTAACCTCACATTGGTCATGAAAATCAAATGAGATAATGTATATAAAGTGCTTGGTAGACCTCAAAGAGCTATTCATAGTAGTAGCTGGAAGCAACCTTAGAGGTCATTTTGACCACGATCTATCAGAAACATGAATGCATTCTACAGTATCTCAGATAAGTGCTCATTCAACCCTCTTCTTGAATAACTCCAGAAAGAGAGTCTCACTACCTAATTATAACACACCATTTTATTTTTGTGCAGCTTTAATTGTTAGGAAAGGGCTGCTAGGTGGCACAGTGGATAGAGTTCTAACCCTGGAGTCAGAAGTACCTAAGTTCAAATACAGCCTCAAACACTTACTAGATGTGTGGCCCTGGGCAAGTCACTTAACCATTCTTGCCTCAGTTCCTCATCTGTAAAATAAGCTGGAGAAGGAAATGGCAAAGTGCTCCAGTATATTTGCCAAGAAAACTCCAAATGGGGTCACAAAGTCAGACACAACTGAAACAACACAAAAACAACAGCAAATTGTTAGGAAGTTCTTCCTTATATTAAGTCAATCTGTGTCGCTGGAATTTCCATTCATTAATAGAAGTTTACATTCTAGCACCAAGAAAAATAATTCCAATCTCCAAATTATTTGAAGAAGCAATCACATCCAATAATGTCCAAGCCTTCTCTGCTCCAGGATAAACATTATCAGTTTATTTATCTGATCCTCATGTGACATTCACCATTCTGGTTTCATTCTTTGTGGCATTTTCCAATTTTATAGAATTAAAAATTTAAGAATTGGAAGAAATCTCAAATGTGACCTTCTCAACCTATTAAAAAAAGCTTCTCCATGTCCCATCTAAAAATGTGGTGGTCACAATAGAACACAATATTTGAAATATGTTCAAACCAGACAGAGCACACACTGGGATTATTACCTCCATTGTTGCAGATGCCATGACTTCTGTAAATACAGCTTCAGATGATATTAAATATTATTTTAGCCGTCATAACAAACTGTTCATTTGAAGTTGATCCAAACTCTAAGGACATTTTCCAAGAACTATATTATAACTATATCTTCCCCATCCTATGCTCCTACAAATGGTCTTTTTAATTTCAGTGTTTGAATTTGCTATTGGCCATTGCAACCACAAACAGCTTAAGACACAGGACAATCTGAGATCCCTTGCAGTTACTTCTGCTATTTGAACAGCTCGAATTAGGTCAGGGAGGTGAAATCATCTAGGGTTTCTCAAGTGAGGCCACTGAGGACATGCACATTCAATGTTGCTCCCAGGTGTGTACATAATCATGCAGTCATAAGCACTGAATAAAAGGTTTCATATGTAGGAACATAAAAATAGAGGGGTACAGCCTTAACCTTAGGAGAGAGTCCCACAAAAGGATCCTCCTGATTAGTAGAAATTATAAATGAAATAATATTTGTAAAGAGCTTAACTCAGTATCTAGCAGTAGTAGGCACTATAAAAATGCTAGCTATCATTTTTGTTATTTGTTATTTTTATTGGGAAGTCTCACAGTTGTGCTGACTGTGTTTTCATGACAAATCTGTGTTACCCAACTTCTACCAGGCCCTCATTTCAGCAAGGCAATCTTTTTATTCCAGGGCAGTGCCTGACATATTATATGTGCTTAGTGTCGATTGATTATTTCTCCCTAATTGATTCCCTATTTCATTCCCCACAAAAGCTATTCCAAACCCTTTCTTTTCCCACCTCAAGCCTCCACACCTCCCCGTCCTCACCTCCTCTGATGTGAACTCTCTCTTCTCCCATTCTCTTCTTCTCAAAATACTTTGATATCATCTCCCACTCTCCCCTCCTCCCTCCCAGTCTCTAACAAAGAAGTGGTGCCTCTCCTTGCCATGGCCAAGTGTGCTTGATCTCATCCCTTCCTGTTATGCCTTTTTAATATTGTTAAAGTATTTTTTGAACTTAAATACCAAAAAAGTACCTGCATGTACACAGCAGAACACAAAAAGAGGATTCTATATTAAACTGTGATTCTCCATTTCATATACCTTGCTTCAAAAAATTATATAACAAATTCTACATGTTGCATGGGGAACTTTCTATAATACCTTGAAAACTGTTCAGCTTGTCTAATGCTTCCCTCTGAATTCTCTTCTTTTCTCTTCTGTGTATTTTTAAAAATATTTTGATGGTCCCCTTATTTGGTATTAGTAATGTTAAAACCTTCTCTATTCCCCGCCTCTACCCTTCAATTAAAAAAGGGAAAGAAAAAAATAACGACCTTGTAACATATAAGCAAAGTTAAGGAAAATTAATCTACGCAGTGGCCATGTTCAAAGATGTATGCCTCTATGTCTTATCCTCCATCACCTCTCTGTCAGGAGAAAGAAAACATGCTTCATTATACAAAGTTCTCTTTTTCTCAACATTGTTGTTGCCTTTGTAAAAAATGTTGTTCTAGTTCAGCTCAGTTTATTCCACAACAATTCATATTACCCAGGATTGTCTAAAATCATATCTTTCTTTGAATTTATGGCACAATAAAATTCTATTACCTTTATGTATGATGACTTGTTCAGCTATTGCACAATTATCTAAGAGATAATCTAACATACCCCTTTAAATTCTAGTTATTAGTTATGGGATTTTTTCTCCTTCATCTTCTCCTCAGGATCAAGAAATTTGCTTTGCTTTTGGCTATTTCTTCCTCAGAATCATCCTCACTCTTGATCACATGATTCTTCCCCCATCAATAATCCTACTGGTTGAATTTGATATAGATATAGATATAGATGTAGATGTAGATATAGATATAGATACATATATATGTATCTGTATCTATCTATCTATCTACATATATCTATATATATATATATAGATAGATAGATTTATTTATGGTGTTAAATTCTTCCCCTCCACTTCCTCTACCCTCTCCTCCATGTTTGTACATTCTTTCCACATACTACATTTTAAGAAATAGAAAGTTCTACCCTCTTCCTTCTTTCTACAAAAGTGTATTCCTATTACCTTCCCTTCTCTTCCACCTCTTCAGA